CACACACACACACGCACACACACCCCCACCCCACACCACACACACACACACACACACGCGCACACGCGCACACTCCCCCCACCCCCCTTCCATCTCCGCTGCCTCATCCGCTGCGATCTCCCGGCTTCGGTAAAAAAAAGTGTCCCTTTTTTCGGACATGTGAAAATGTAAATTTTGTCATAAAAGGCAGACTTTTGCCATAAAATCAACATATAATTAATGACGGTGTGCACAACAGATGCACAACGTACCCATTTTGGTCCCTCAACGCTATGTTTTGGGAAACACTGATTCAGTTGTGTGTTACCTTCAAAGTTATGAACACAGGAGTGGGGCCCACCAGAGCCTTGCTCAAAGGCACTTCAGTTGGAATGGAATGCCTTTATTTGTGTCCTTATGGTGTCCTTTTGATGCAGTAAAACAAGAAATGACCATCGTAAACAAAAAAAAAAAAAGAAACAAGCAGTTGTAAGTATCAATGCCAGTCCAGGTAAACAAACCTGTGGCCTTTTAGGTCATAGGCCATATTATTCACCACTAGGCCACCGTGGCTCCAATTACTCTGATGAGCAACACAAACAACAACAACCAAAAAAAAAGCCCACTTTTTGTAACTTACACTCATGCGTCTATGCACGTCAACCTTGAGTGCGTTCAATGCCAGTCAAGGGGAATGCAACCTGGGGTCTCTCATGTTTCAGGTTGCCCTAATTATGCCCCACCCCACCCCCACCCCCTCAGTCCCATTCAACCCTGCAGTACCTACGTGGCTCACCACAGCTCTGCTCACAAATGAGGCTTTTCTATTGGTAAAAGTAGAGACAATTTCAAGTGTCTGGTCCATTGGCATCCCATGAGCGTCAAGAACAGGGACCCTACTCGGCTGTGTCAAATTGCACACTTGGACAGCCCCGACATTTGTGGCGGAAAGGAGGACACAGGGCGAGATTCCGTCCATGGTGGACAATCCACAGCATCCGCTGCATGGCACCATTTCCAGGAAGCGGAGCAGCTTCAGTGACAAGCCGCTGTCACTGCCCTGCTCCGCTGACAGATTGAATAAATCCTTCCTCCCCCATTGCCGTGTGTCTTTTTAATACCAGCCTGGGAGGGAAACGCAAATATCACATTACCTCAACATCCTGCACGCTACTTACAATGCACCTTATTACGGACCTTCAGACTGCACTGGAATTATGATGTTCATTTTATGTCTGTATTTTAAAAAAAAGTCTTGTGTAGCTAATAGGTTTAATATCTGTCCATGGTCAACAGCAACATTTAATCAGAGATGGCTTTATGTGTCCTGAAAAATATTTTTGACGCTGATTCAAAAGATGGCTTTTGGGACATTTTCATTTTTTGTAAAGTTTGACCTATAAAATCACATTTTCTTTACGTCGTCTTGTTTTTTTCCCCTTTTTCTCATTCTCTGAATGTTAAGTTCAGTTGTTTTTCTGTCGTGTGTTTGACATCAAGCCTGCTGGAAGGGGGCCCAAGGTAGATTCCCAAATCTCGATGTGTTATGGCGTTGTTTATGGGCCATTTCACTTGTGTCATTGATATGGACCAATATCAGCTATCTCTTCAGGGGAACTTTACGAGCCCCAAACCAGCAACAGCTAGGAAGTAAGGGGCCCTATGCAGGGGATTCCCGACACTCTGTCATCACAGCAATGCCATTTGTGTGTCATTGCTATGGGCCAATGTGAGACATCCCTTGGAAATTGCTTGGGTTGCGTGCCGTTGTGGCATCTCTGTAAAATGGGGTGCACACATGCCCCCAATCTGGCCAAATATGAGAACTTTCTGTCCCTTGTCATCACAAAAAGCAAAGACCCGACTGTCGGATGGCTACAAAAGATTACCCTGAGTGATTATCCTGAGGTGTGGGGTGTGGGACTGTTGAACCTGTTCAAGGAGCGGTGCTTTGATTTATGAGTTGGATACATTCCATGGCCAAGGTTGTAACTCAAAACATTCATATTTCAAATCAATATCCCCATTGAAATGAACTGATATGCCATTAATCCGTTCCTGCCACTGAAAATCACATTTTTTGAAAAATAGTTTGGAACAGTAGTTTTTTTTTTCAAATGAAGACAAAACGCTCTATATCGTATAAATTCACAATAAAAGAGAAATTAAAATCATTTTTTAAAAATATCATGATAAAACCAGTTTGTTCAAGTGGAGTCCCAAAAACAGTCGTGTTGTATTCGTGCTTTCCTGCCACTTTTCCATTCGATTCTGTTTGGCATCTCGTCGTAATGACACCAACTTTCATGTTGTGCCGCTAAATGCCTCGCCTATTGCTGTTTTCCAGTTTCAGCGGAGCTCGCGTGTGTGCGACTGTTTATGTGTGTCTGTGTGTGTGCGTCAGCGTCTCTCTGATGTGTGTGCGCTTGCGTGTGTGTGCGTGTGTGTGTGTGCGCTTGCGTGTGTGTGTGTGTGTGTGTGTGTGTGTGTGTAGTGTGTGTGTGTGCGCGTGTGTGTGTGTGTGTGTGTGTGTGTGTGTGTGTGTGTGTGTGTGTGTGTGTGTGTGTGTGTGTGTGCGTGCGTGCGTCAGCGTGTGCGTGCGTGCTTGCGCTTAGAGGCTTATGCTAATTGCGGTCTCCCGACTGGCCTTCTGGGTAGAGTCTGCGCGAGTGGGAGTGGAGCGCGTCGCTTGGTCTCGACAGCATTCACCCACCACTCCGCGCGGCACTCCCCGTACGTACGTACGGCTCCGTGCTAGGCTCCGTCCGAACGGGCTGCTCGTGTTTGACTCCAGCAACGCTTCTTTTTTCCTCTTCGCCGTCTTTTGTCGGCTTCTTCCAATTCTTCTCCGGTGGCGTGCCGAAGAGGGGAACCGCGCGAGCGTGAGGCAGAACTACCTCCGGACCGGAGCCAACCCCCTCCCTCGGCTAGATTGAGACCAGCCGGCCCATTACGGCAGACGCGACAACGGAGGAACGGACGGGCTCCGCGCGGCCGGCCGCCCGCCATGGAGTGACGGATACACGAGCCGAGTAGGACGGCGTGCTCCGCTCAAAGCTAACATGGCGCTGCTGCTCCCGCCGCCGCGAGTTTCGGCCGAGCTGAGTTAATTTCCCCCCGGACGTCGCCACCTGTATCTCCTCGGTGGACCGACCGGCGCTTTCGCGGACACTTCAAACAAGCCTGACAGGATTTTAAACTGAACAAAATCTCCCCCGAAAGCGAACTTCAAACTCCACATTTCTCAAAGGATGACTTTCCTCTAGTTTTCTTTTATTTCAAGTGGATAACCGGATCGACACTTTTACTTCTTTTTTTTTCACTTGGCAAAAAGAGGACAAAAAAACGGCACCGGTTGGCTGGAAGTGACGCGGAATTACCCAGGTGAGACGAACGCTATATTTCTACTTTTATAAGCTTTTGATCGTTGTTAGAAAGTCCTACTTGTGCCTGTCTGTGTGTGTAAAAATATAAAAGGGAAAGAGAGACAGAGAGGGAAATAAAAGAAAGTCCCCCTGAAGGGACCTCGTGATGGCTCCGAAAATCACAAGAAGTCTGCCTTGGTGATGGTGGTGGTTGCTTGGTGGTGTGCGCACACACTGTGAGCGGAACGGGCCACTTCTAAGAATAGCGCATAGGGTGGTCTTTGTGTGTTTTCGGCGGGGCAATGGCATGTGCTTGATAAATAACACACACACAAGCGAGTTGCTTGGGTCCGGTCCGGCCGTGAGCTTGGACTCCCCCGCCCTCCCGCTCCCCGCGGCTGTCCTGTCAAGCGGACCCCGGGCGCGAGTGCCAGGCGGTCCGCCACGGTGAATAAATTCAGCGTTTTCACACTCTGTGTCGTGTGACCGAGTGTCGTGTGCGTGTGTGTGTGCGTGTGTGGCTTTGGGCTGCGCGTGTACGTGCGCGCACACGGAACCCGTGCCGCTAAAAAAAACAAGGTTACGGAAGCCAGCCTCGCCCTGCCAAAAAGGTTCAGTTGGAGGGCATCCCCGCAGTGTGTGCGCGTGTGTGCGCGCGTGCGTGTGACTGCGTCACCGGAGCCCGTGCGTGTATGTTTTGTTTGGACAGCAGTGGACGTTGATCGGCGGCTTTCGTCAGCCCCGAAGCTTTTCGGGAAACGCGCGCGTGCGCGGCGCATTGTGTACACAACACACAGACACTCCATGCATGCGTGGATCAAGGTCTAGCAGGTGTGTTCTTTGTGACTTTGGGGCCCTCCATTCTCGTGCCACCGTTCATCCCAAAACACCCCCCAAACCCCCCCGTGGATTTTCTGACTCCCCCACCCAAAAAAATAAATAAATAAACACCTCACCTCTATTTTTGTCACTTAATCTCCACTTGAGCTCTCAGCCACTTTCATCCCCTTCCATTGTTGTATTATTAATCGCAGGTTTTATTTTGGCTTTGCACGCTAGGCGGGCGCCAACGATCGCCGCCACCGCGATCAGGGTGAACTAGTTCTTCTTCCGAGTTGAACTTCAATCAACACAAGCCCCCACCCCCACCGCACATGTCATGTCGTCGTCCCGCGCCACCCCGCGCCTTCTGTCCTACAGCCACCCGGGCACTAATTAGGGGGACGCTCTCTTAGGACGATCGATGCGCCTCGTATTGGCTGGCTCCAGCTCATTAACGAGCTTAGTGAGGGAGGCGGCCATAAGAGCTCAAGCTTCGGCAAGCCCCCCCCCCCCCGCCCCACCCCACCCTCACGTAAGCAACCAATCCACGTCGGACCGGCGAGGGCTGTAAATGCACGCGCCTGCTGCAGCAGGGCAGGTTTGGGAGCGCCGGGGGCCTCGTGTTGGGACCTCTGCTTTTTACGAGGGGGAGGATTAAGTGATCGAGGCACGGAGGGGGTAGGAGGTGGAGGAGGCGTCAGGGGGCTT